TTTGAGGTTGCTGTGAGCTAGGCTGACACCACAGCACTCTAGCCCGGGCAACAGAGTGAGACTCTGTCTCAAAACAACCCCAAAAACAAAACAAAAAAACCCAGAGAGACAGGGTCTCGAGAACAAATGATTTTATTAGGGAACAGCAGGAAGACTGCAATCCGGGGTACACGAGCTATGGCAGTATATAGCTTGACACAGGCATGTCCAAGGGTTGGGGAGAAGAGGACTCTTTTAAAGACAAAGAGAAGAAGTTTGCTTAAGTTGTTTCAAAACTAAAGGTTACAAAGACCAAAGGTTACAGGAGTTTGTTGCAGGAGTAGGTATGAGTTTATCAGCTAAGGCAAGTGTCCTTGTGCAGGTAGCTTATTTGACTTGATGCCAGTGAGGTAACCTGGTAGTGCTCTAGTGCAGGGAAGTCTTATGACAAATTCCACTCACAAGCATGTTTGTGCGAGGGCTTCTTTGTCAAGGCCACCCTGACACCACCTTGCTACTGGCAACTTTCACAAGATAAATAAGGATAGAGATAGAAGGTTAGTAAGTTTTTTTTTTTTTATGAGACAGAGTCTCACTCTGTTGCCTGGGCTAGAGTGCTGTGGCATCAGCCCAGCTCACAGCAACCTCAAACTCCTGGGCTCAAGGAATCCTGCTGCCTCAGCCTCGAGAGTAGCCGGGACTACGGGCATGTGCCACCGTGCCCGGCTAATTTTTTATATATATATTTTTAGTTGTCCAGCTAATTTTCTTTCTATTTTTAGTAGAGATGGGGGTCTCCCTCTTGCTCAGGCTGGTCTCGAACTCTTGAGCTCAAACGATCCACCCGACTCAGCCTCCCAGAGTGCTAGGATTACACTAGCACTAGTGGCTGAGCCACTGTGCCCGGCCAAGTTAGTAAGATCTTAAGAAAGGCAGTCATAGCATGATAACTTCAGGAGGAAAGCTATTTCCTCCTTGAGTCTACAGATGTTATATAATTTATTACTAACCGGCCGGGCGCGCGTGGCTCACGCCGTAATCCTAGCTCTCTGGGGAGCCGAGGCGGGCGGATTGCTCGAGGTCAGGAGTTCGAAACCAGCCTGAGCAAGAGCGAGACCTCTCTCTATAAATAGAAAGAAATTAATTGGCCAACTAATATATATACAAAAATTAGCCGGGCATGGTGGCGAATGCCTGTAGTCCCAGCTACTTGGGAGGCTGAGGCAGGAGGATTGCTTGAGCCCAAGAGTTTGAGGTTGCTGTGAGCTAGGCTGATGCCATGGCACTCACTCTAGCCTGGGCAACAAAGCGAGACTCTGTCTCAAAAAAAAACAAAACTAAAAAACAACAAAAAAAATTTACATAAACCATAAAAGGCAGAATATAGATAGACTCTATCCCAATTCTGATTTTGTAGGATTGTTTGCTGACTGCATTAAAGCCTAAATATCAACAGTATTTACACTTTGTTTATTTTAAGCTATTAGATGATGAGTCTTTCGAGGAAAAGTCAGGAGGGTGGGAATTCTTTACAGCTTGTGGAGGGATGATTTTTTTCCCCAGTTTGAAAGCAATCACTGTTTATTAACTGACCAGATTGCAAAAACAATCATGGTAGAGGCCACAGTTCGTCCTTCTACTAAGCCTGTTGATGTGGACTTCCCTGTGGCCAGCATCTCCTCCTTCTACAAATAGGCTGTCATTTTCTTCATTCCACCCCGTGGAGCTGATAACTCAAAGGGCCACAGGAAGTTATTTGCTTCTTTGAGGCGTTCCCAACAGCATAGATCTCACAATCAGGGCCATATTCACCCAGAGATCGAGCAGTCAAAGCGCTGTGTTAACACAGTTCGCTTCCTGCTGATCTTGCCATGACCATGCTTGTCGATTAGTTCATTTACCGACTTCAGGTTTGGGTCACCCTGATGCAGTATATGTTCCACAGTCCTCCGCAGGCTAACCGAAGTCTTGTTGAGCTTAACAAAGGCTGCACTGACGATCTGGCACAGGCGAAGAAGCTGCAGCACCTTTCGGACCTTTGGGCTCACACCGATGACAGCTCTGATCCTGATGACAAACGCCAACTTGGGTTCTGCAGGTGCATCGAAGTTGCCAGCTTTTCTTGCCATCCTGGCCATTCGAATCTCAGTTCCGTACATCTGCCTGTATTCCTGGTGATAGTGCTTAGCTTTTCAGAGATGAGCTTCCACTTCGCCTTTCGAAGCAGCTTTTGGGCAAACTTCTTTCTCAGGGTTTGATCTTCAGCTCTGCAAATCCCTTCACTTTTCTTAAGGGTTCTGGCCCAGCAGGAACCTTCTTTTTCTTCTCTTGGACATCTTCCATGGTTCCAGCTGGAAAAGAGTTGTGAGGGATGATTAAAAGGAGAAAGCCAACTCTGTCACCTCCAAATTTCACAAGAAGAAACTCCAATGTCACCTGTTCACAGCCATGATAATCATCATTCATTCAGGTCTAACATAGGAAAGGTCCGAGCACTCTGGGAGGCCGAGGTGGAGGATTGCTCAAGGTAAGGAGTTCGAACCAGCCTGAGCAAGAGCGAGACCCCATCTCTACTATAAATAGAAAGAATTAATGGCCAACTAATATATATAGACAAAATTGACTGGGCATGGTGACGCATGCCTGTAGTCCTAGCTACTCGGGAGGCTGAGGCAGAAGGATTGCCTGAGCCCAGGAGTTTGAGGTTGCTGTGAGCTAGGCTGACGCCACGGCACTCACTCTAGCCTGGGCAACAAAGTGAGACTCTGTCTCAAAACCAAAACAAAAAACATAGGAAAGGAAGAAAATCCTAAGGTACAGGGGGAAATATGAGGTTCTGGGTGACCCTCTATAGCACTGGCCCCCATGGAAAGTGTCTATGGGCAAGGGCACATGTGTGGTGGGAGCCCCAGAAAGCACCCTGGCAAGGGGGAAGTTACTGGTCCCACATGCTAAAGTCAACCTTTACGATTTGATGACTTCCTTTGCAATTTTTTTGTTTGTTTTGAGACAGGGTCTTCCTCTGATGCCCAGGCTGGAGGACAGTGGCAGGATCATAGCTCACTGTAACCTCAAATTCCTGGGCTCAAGTGATCCTCCTAGCTCAGCCTCCCAAAGCTGGAACTACAGGGGTGCCACCATGTACAGCTGGCCTCAAGCAATCCTCCTGCCTCGGCTTCCCAAAGTGTTGGGATTACAGGTGTGACCCACCACACCCAGCCTCTTTTGTAATATTAAAATTGTAATCATTACAAATGAAATAATACCTGATCCTTTGTCAGGTTTACCCATGCATTCCATGGTAGTAGCTCCCTCCCTCCACGCTGCTCCCAGAGTTCTCTTTCTAAAACAAGCAGGTCATTCATTGAAGGTGACTTTGAGAAAAAGATTAAGAAAATAAAACCAGCAGCAGGTCACTCCCTCTCCTGCCTAGATCCTGCAGGGCTCCCCACTCTCCCTGACATCTCAGTTCCTTCTGCCGGGGCCCCACACTGCCTCTCTCTGACCTCAGGGCATCACTGTGCACCCTGTCCCTGCCCCTGCATCTGTTCACCTCCCCTGTCTCTCCCTCTGTGGGCAAGGTGCTTCTCCTCTTCTCTGCCTGGCCAGGGTCACAGTGCAGGCCACAGGCCAACTGCTCAGAGTACCAGGAGCTCACATCTGGATGCAAGACCCTTCCAGGAGGGCAAGGCCAGGAAGTGACCCTACGGCCCAACACGGGAGCACATAGAGAGGTGCCACAGTTTGTTGAAGTCATCATTCCACAAGTATTTATTGGGCACCTGCTATGTGCCAGGCTCTGTGCTAGGCTTCAGGCATTTAAGGGACTTTTTTTTTTTTTTTTTTTTAAACAGAGTCTCACTTTGTTGCCTAGGCTAGAGTGAGTGCCGTCAGCCTGGCTCACAGCAACCTCAATCTCCGGGGTTCAGCGATCCTCCTGCCTCAGCTCCCGAGTAGCTGGACTACAGGCATGCGCCACCGATGCCCGGCTAATTTTTGTATATATATTTTTAGATGGTCAATTATTTATTTCTATTTTTGGTAGAGACGGTCTCGCTCAGGCTGGTTTCAGGCTGGTTTCGAACTCCTGACCTCAAGCAATCGCCTGCCTCGCCTCCCAAATTGCTAGGATTCAGGCATGAGCCACCACGCCCGGCCTTAAGGGACTTTTTTATTGAGACAGAGTCTCGCTTTGTTGCCCAGGCTAGAGTGCCGTGGCGTCAGCCTAGCTCACAGCCAACCTCAAACTCCTGGCTCAAGCCGATCCTCCTGCCTCAGCTGCCCGAGTAGCTGGGACTACAGGCATGAGCCACCAGCCAGCTAATTTTTTTTCTACATATATTAGTTGGCCAATTAATTTTCTATTTATATAGTAGAGACGAGTCTCGCTCTTGCTCAGGCTGGTTTCGAACTCCTGACCTCCAACAATCCGCCCACCTCGGCCTCCCAGAGTGCTAGGATTACAGGCGTGAGCCACTGCTTCCGGGGAAAGGGACTGTAAATCCGGAAGAGTCCTACCCTCAGGGAGCCCACGGTTCACTGGGACGGGGATGTGGACGGGGTCGGGGAGGGGCAGACCTTCCCTCCTTCCCAAGGGAATGCACGCGGTGGCTTCAGCTAAGAGCCACAAGGACCCTCCACAGGTGGGGTAGTGGGGTGGACAGAGAGGGTCCCCGCAGGCACCCGAACAACAAGGAGCTGGCCCTGAGCCCGCCGGGGACGCGGTTGCTGAGGGAACCGCAGGCCTGGAGGTGGGCCCGCGCCGGGCAGGAACAGGCCAGGCGGGGTCGCTCCTGCAGGCCTCGGAGTGACCCCGGGGAAGGTTCTGGATTTTATTTTCCATCCCAACAAGGCGCGCGCCATAGCGTTCCCTTTACGGTGGCAAACGAGGCCCAGAAGAGGCCACCGGGCGACCGGGGCCCGGCGCCGCGCGGGAGCCCGTCCCCTCCCGCCGAGGGCTAGGCGGCCGGCTCCGTCCCCGCCCCGCCGCCCCGCCGCCGCCCCGCCCGCCCGCCCTGAGGTGACGCGAGCGGGCGGCCCGGCTGTCTCGGCGGCGGTGGCGGCGGCAGCGGAGCGAGCACGGCGCGGCGCCACCATGGGGGCCCAGCTGAGCACGGTAGGCGGGCAGGGGGCGCCGGCCGCGGCGGGCGCGCAGGGCCGCGGGCGTCGACAGCGGAACGCGCGCGCCTATGCGTCGCGCGGCGCGTGCCGCGGGGCGGGGCGGCCTGCGGAAGGGGCGCGGGACCCCGCCGCCCGGCTGTGCCCGCCGCACCCCCGGCCGCCGTACCCCGCGGCCCCGGCCCGGCCCGGGCGTGCGCCGTGGGGACCGTGACTCACGCCGTACGTCTGTGGGGGGACCCAGCCCTCCCTCCCGAGGGGAGAGGCCGGCACGCGGGGGCGGACGGCGTGGCCTAGGCCGCCGCCGCCCTCCGGCTCTCCCCTGGCCCGCCGCGGCCGCCGGGTGAAGCGGTGGCCGTGAGTGTGGCTGTGAGACTCTGGGTGTGCAGTGTGAGCACGTGTGAGAGTGCGTGCGTGTGAGTGTAAGGGCGTATGTGCGTGAACATGCGTGAACGTGTGTGATGTCACTGTGTCAGAGGCTTTTGCACATTTTTACCTTCTTAAAAAATTTACATTTCCATAGATGTGGGGGTACACGTGGTTTTTGGTTACAAGGGTGAACTGCATAGCAGCAACGTCTGGGTTTTTAGTGTTCCCGACACTGAACAGTGTAGATTGCACCCAGTGGGTGGCTTTTCTTCCCTCACCGCCCTCCCACCTTGCACATCTTTTAGCACCAACAAAAAGAAAACCGATGACACCTGGGGGTCCTCCTAAGTGGTGGGCAGGGCGCAGGTCTCCCTGGACGCCCCCAGCTGTTCTGTGGGTGGCCTGCACTAGGGATGTCAGTGCTGTTGTCCCATTTCACTGCTGGGGAGATGCCACTCAGACGTGGCCACCTGAGGGCGCCTGCCATGGTGGGGCTCCAAAGTCCACCCGCATCCGATGGCTTCTGGGTTGGCCCAGGGGCCTGCCTCCCTTTGGCCCAGGCCGCCTCCTGTCTCTGATTTCTCAAAAGTGACACAAGGCTGCGGACCGTGGAGGCTGCAGCTGCAGAGGACAGCCCTGGGCCCTGTGGCTTGCAGCGCCCCGGCTTGCTGGGCAGGAAGTCTGGCTCCGGAAGGCTGAGCCAGCGCCTCTCCACGCCTCCTCCCTGGGGTGCTGGAGGCCCCTCCTTGGGGAAGCGGGCAAAAGGCCTCTTGGCCTGGGCGTTTGCTGGGGAAAGTGTGGCCCAGCCTGGACTCTCGGGGTGTCACCAGCCTCTGTGTAACATCCTGCCGTTTCCCCAGAAAGCGCCCACCTGTTATTGTTGAAATGTCCCATGGGCTCTGAGGCCTGCCGGCCCCCTCCCTGGGCCCCTCCTCTGCTGTCTGCCGTGCGCTTCTTACCTTCCAGCGGGCAGCGGGCGGGCGGCAGTGGCCTTTAGATTGAGTGCTGCACCCCAGCAGCTGGTTGCTCCATGCGGTTCTGTTGAACAGACAAGCAGTCCCCTGTGAGGGGAAGGACCCTGTCTGGGAGTCAGGAAACCTTCACCAGCCCCCTAGCCTCATCTGCCTAAGGGGTGGGCACACGCGCATTGCCCCATGTGGGCCCTGCCGGGATCCCCTCTTGGCCCAGAATGCTCCCCGCATGCCCTGAGCAAGGCTTCCCGGCACAGGGGCTCCCTGAGGTCTGCAGGTGGCCGGCGGGGGCCTGGTGCACCCTCCCTCTTATCTGAGTTATGCAGGCCCCATGGGAGGCCGCCTTAGGGGGCCCAGCCCAGGGCTGGCACTGAGTCTGCCAGCACTTGGGGAGAACGTCGAGGGCCTGGCCTGCCATCCCAGACTGTGGCTCCCTGCTTCCCAGCCCAGCTTCGTGCATGACGACACAGGTAGAGTCTACCTGGCTTCGGGCTTTCCCGCTGCCCTGGCAGCGCCGTGCCTAGTTGGTGGCCCAGATCTGCCCCTCCGCCTGGGCTCCCTTCCCCCACAGTTCCCAGCCTGGTGGGAGCCCCCCGCTGCAGAACTTCCTCCACTCCCTCCCACTTCCTCCCACTTAGAACAGGACTGGGAGGGAGGTGGACTCTCAGATCCAGGCAGGACAGCTGGTGGGCTGGCGCGGGCAGGTAAGCAGATCAGCTGACTGGCTTGTCTAAGCCTCAGGACGGGGTTGGCACCTGGGGAGGACTGCATCTGTCAGGTTGGGCATCCTGGGAGGCCTCTGCCACCCCAGACCTCACCTGGGCAGGGTGGCTGTCAGGATCCCGGTAGAGAATTCCAGGGCAAGCAGCTGGGCAGGGTGTTCTGTGGGTGGGGAGCAGAGTTACGGGGCCCCTCAGCCATGGTGGTGAGCGCGGGGCTCCCTGGAGATGTCCTGGGACTCTGGCCGCATGTCCCTGTTCCCTCCATGCTATCAGAGGCAGGCGGGGGCTCCCTGGCGGGGCAGAGCATGGCCTGTGGGGCATTAGGTGAGGGCCTGGGAGGCAGCTGACTCCTAGACCCCCCAGGTGGGTGGGGCGAGGTAGTGTGAGTGTGTGTGTGTGTGTGTGTGTGTGTGTGCAGCACGGCCGAGGAGGAGCTCGGGCAGGGCCTTGGCCTCAGCAGTCTGCCTCCCGTCGACTCGGCCCACTGCTGTTGGGGGTAGGGGTGGTTCCGTGATCCAGGACAGGGGCAGCGCCTGTGGCAACCCGTGTCGGCGGTCGGCGGGAACAGAGTGCACCCCCGGCCCCTGTGAGTCTGGCAGGTCCTGTGACTTTCTGGAGAAGACGCTTGTCCCTGTGCTGCTCCTGACCCTGGTGTACCATCTGCTCTGCCAGCCACTGTCTCCCCAGTGGCTCCCCCAAATTGAGCAGGAGCCCTGATACGTGAGTGTCCTATGGGGTTTGTGGACTGAATGACCGGCAGACAGTGACGGTCTGCCTCAGCTGCCTCTCCAGATAAGAACTTTTACATAGAAAATCTCCATCTCTTCCCTTTCCGTGGCCAGAAGGTGTCCCAGGCTCACATCTGTCACCTGGGCCTTGGTTTCGTCGGCTGAAATGGGGGAGTGATAGCGCCTACCCTGATCCCAGGCTTGGGGATGAAATGAGGTGATGTGAGCCAAGCGGCTCCGTTGGGGTGTGGCCCCCGTTGTTGGGCAGACGCTGGAAGGAAGGCGGTGGCATTTGTCAGCCGCCCACAGCGAGCCTGTCCCTCTGCGGTGCTGCAGCCACCTCCCTGGGGGTAGGGGTGTCCTCAGGCTGCCTCCGAGGCCCCAGCTTCTGGAGGGCAGCAGGCTCTTCAGACAAACAGGATGGGCTGTGCCCCGCCTTCACCCGGGAGGAGTCTGAGTTGTTGCCCTGGTTCTGGAAACTTCCAGACAAAATAAAAAGAGAGACTGAGAGGACGGGAGCTTGTTGCTGTGCCTTCACTAATTTGTTCCACGAATATTTGCCGAGTGTTTCTGTGCTGGGTGCCGGGGTACGGCGATGGCGGGACACGCACTCGGATGCTGGCTTCGCTCCGGGATACCTGTGCATGCCGGGGGACCGCGCTGGAGGTCGGCGAAGGTCCGTGTGACGGCCGAGGCCAGCGTTCAAGGACTCACTGTCAGAGCCACTGGCATGCGAGTGTCTTTTTCTTGGTTGTGGGCTTAGGGCAAGTGAGGGATGGGCCGAGCAGCAGAAAATCAGAAACCAAAGCCCGGGCTCCACCCGGGGCTGCCCTGAGCCTCACTGTCCCTCACTGTCCCATGGTGTGGAGCTGTTCCGAGCTCCCACCCCTGTGGAAGGAAACTCAGGGGAGGTGGAGCCAGCTGCTGGCCTCCGGGGTCTTGAACTTGGCTCTGCTGTGCTGAGAAAACAAAACCCCAGGGAGCACCAAGCACAACTCCAACTGGCTCTTGATGTCATTTCAGTTCATTTCCAGGGATCCCAACAATGGTGGTTTCCTTCGAATGTACCTTCACTCAGCTTTTTCCCTAAACTATATTCCCCATGGATATGGTTTCTTTGAGTGACATGGGAGAGGGCCCTGGCAGAGGAATCATCAAAATAGTCCCCACTCCCAGGGAGTTTCCAGAAAGGGCTGGGGCTGTGAAAAGTCCATTTGAGGTGGGCTCTGCAGGATGAGTAGGAGTTTGCTGGTTGGATAAGTGCAGAGAAAGGGCGTTTGGGATGGAAAGGAGAGTACTTGCAAAGGCCTGAAGCAAGATGGGCTTGACATTGAGGGAGCTGAGAGCCAGGAGGTGTGTCCGGAGTTGGGGCCTTAAAGGCAGGTAGTGGGGAGCCATGGTGAGTGTTTGAGAAGGAGGTGGGGCTGCCCATTGGTTTAGGTATCGGGGCTGGAGGCAAGTGCTCAGGCCTCACTGCGGGAGGCAGGGTGTCAGATTTGGGCTTTGGGTCCTGTGAGTACAATACAGAGAGGGCGCTTTGTCCTGGGAGGTGGCTCAGGAAGAGCAGGGCTGGGGCTGGACAGGCCTTTGTCAAATCCTGGTTCCACCCTGATTGGTTGTGTGACCTTGGCAAGTCACCCAATCTCTGCAATAGTTAAGAGTATCATGTGGTGTCACTAGTAGTACCTGGAGGGTTGGCTGTGTTGTGACTTGGGGCAAGTTACTTAACCTCTCTGGGCCTCACTGCTCCCATGGCCTAGGCCTGAAGTGGGGAACGTCCTGGGGAACTCTCGGCGCATACTTGGGGCAGTGCCAGCTCAGGGTCATCGCTGTCTCTTGCTCTAAGCATGGCCTTTCACAGCCTGTGCTTTCCTCCCCTGGGTGGGACCTGGGGAGGAGAAGTGACTCCCCTGAGGTCCTGAGCTGGGACTCAAACCCTGGTCTCTGTGACCCCAGAGTCCACGGCTGCGAACCAGGGCCTGAAATGAGCCCCACGATGGGCGAGACACCTGCATGGTGCCTGGGCTTTGGTAGGTGCTGGTTAAATGAGTGGCGGCCAGGGTCCCCTATGGGGTGGCCCTGGGCATGGGTGGGGGGCGGGCCGGCCACCTGCAGCCCTTCTTTTTAGACCATCAGTTACATACCAGGGCCTCCATGGAGCAAGGCCTCAGCTGCACCCAGCACGGAGGCCCTGCCTGGGGGAGACAT